CTGCTCTGGTTTTGGGTAAACTTGCCCAATTCCTCCTCAAAAAGGGCTGGGACGGCTTTGAGTCATCGAGCGGGGCCGGCACCGCTCCCGTCTGTGCAGCAGATGTCGGGTTCCTCTTTCGGTGCTTGTATTAAAACTCTCCATGCAATTAAGCCCTTATTTAAAAAACAGGGGATGCAGGCGGTCCCGGGCACTTGGTTATGTGTAGAGATGTGTAGTTATCACTCAGCAGCCTTAAATTTCATAGGATTTCGTGTACATAGCAAGAAAACTTCACACCCCCTTTGGGTGCTGGGGTTTGGGGTGATCCAGTGACACCCCCTTTGGGTGCTGGGTGCTGGGGTTTGGGGTGACCCAGTGACACCCCCTTTGGGTGCCGGGTGATGGGTTTGGGGTGATCCAGTCACACCCCCTTTGGGTGCTGGGTCATGGGTTTTGGGGCGATCCAGTGACACCCCCTTTGGGTGCTGGGGTTTGGGGTGATCCAGTGACACCCCCTTTGGGTGCTGAGGTTTTGGGTGATCCAGTGACACCCCCTTTGGGTGCTGGGTTTGGGGTGACCCAGTGACACCCCCTTTGGGTGCTGGGCGGTTTTTGGGTATGTCCCAAATCCAAGGGCCTGCCTCATGAGTCGCACTTAAGCATTCCAGTTAAACCAGTGGAGCTCACTGGTGTCACCACAGGAGTAACGTACAAGCGAGGGACTAATTCTCAAGTATTTTAATTATTTTAACTTTAAAAAGCTTATTTTTACAGCTGCATTACGTAGGGATGCAAGATCAAGCCTGCTTCTCTCATTCAAATACTTCTTTTAATGAACTTTTCCCTTCCAAAGCAGCTCTGGGGGTGTTTCCGTGGGCAGGTTTGCCCTCTCGAGGAGCTTGGTTTCAGGCTGATTTCCCACTCTCCACCAAACTCAACCTCCACCCCAATAACTGGATGTGCCCCATCAGAAAAGTCCAAACTGGGACAAGGTGAGGGGGATTCAGGGGGTTAAAAAAGGTTCTCGAAGGGAAATTGCTCCGTGGGAGCATCCTCTGGGTGCCAGCGGAAGGCTGGTGGAACCGAACCAAAATAGAGCTTTCCTGAATTAAAAGAGAGGAAGTCACGGACCAAACGGCATCGCTGTTGGTCTCAACGTGATGTGGGACATGCTCAGTGTCTTCACGCCTTCTAAGAATGAGTTGAGCTTTTTTAAAGATAATTCAGTGTTAATTTAATGAAAGCAATTAGGGCAGTGTTTGTTAAAAGCCAGGCTGGCTGCTCTTAATGAAAATTAAAGTATTGTCATAATACTGAGCAGATGAGAAAAGTGAATGATGAGATGGATGATTCGGGTTTTCTTGCTGGAAATAACTTCCAGGATTTAAACACCCTCTTATTTTTGGGAGGTATCGGGGAGAAATAGGAATATTATAATAGCATATTATTAATATATTAATTATACACTATTATTACTGCTATTATTATTACTACTATTATTATTACTATTAACTATAGAATAATATAGCAAACTCGGCGTGTTGGCTGGGGATGCCTCTTCCGGAGATGCTGAGGTAGGGCTCGTGTCCCCCTGGAGATGCACTTGTGGAAAAGGTTGCCAGATTAATTGGGTTTAGCCATTCTGCTGCTATAAAATAACATTTTGGCTTAAAGCATGTGGGAAAAACCCCTTGGTTGACAAGGTTGAGATGCAGCATCTTTGCTTCGCCGTCCTTGCGTTTCTCTCTGGAGCGGTGAGGACCATCCAGGTACCAGCACACATCCCAGTCTCTCCGAAATACGGATTATTCCCGATTCCTACCCAGCAGATGTGTAAACAGCTGATTTTACCGGAATCAGCAGAAAAATCCACGTTGTCAGCTGGTGCTGCAGTGAGATCTGCTCTGGTTACAGCATCTTTATAACAGGGAGTGTGCATGGAGGAACCACAACTGCCTCTTCAGACCTTGAGGAGAAAGATAACGGTGTATAAAGGAGTTGAAGGTAATTAAAATCCACGGGGAAATGTCCACATGTGAGCTGGAGGGCTTAAAAAACCCAAGAAAAGCAAGCTGTTCCCGAGAATAAAACTCACTGTGGTGTGACCCCGTCTCCACCAAACTGCTGCAGTGTTGCTCTCCGCGGACGATAAAGTCGGGAGCGGGTACGTCGCTCTTCATCTCCTTCCAACCCAGACCTTGACATGCGAATGCATTGCAGGGGCACCTCTGGAGAGCTGAGGGCTGAGTGACTGCACGGGGTTTCTCACATCACAGAATCCCAGAATGTGAGGAGTTGGAAGGGCCCTGGAAAGCTCCCCCAGTGCAACCCCTGCCAGAGCAGGAGCACCAGAGCAGTCACACAGGAACACGGCCAGGGCTTTGGGTGTCTCCACACAAGGAGACTCCACAACCTCTCTGGGCAGCCTGGGCCATGCTCCAGAACCCTCACACTCACAAAGTTTGGCCTCATCTTCAGCTTGAACCTCCTGTGCTCCAGCTTGGGACCATTGCCCCTTGTCCTGGCATTGGCCATCCCAGAGCAGAGCCTGGCTCCTTCCTCCTGACACTGCCCTTTCCCAATGGATCCCCAGGAATGAGGGCACCCCTCAGTCTCCTCTGCTCCAAGCTCAAGAGCCCCAGCTCCCTCAGCTGCTCCTCAGCAGGAGATGCTCCACAGTGTTCACTTCTACAAGTGATAGTGCTTGTATGGTAAGGAAACATGGCAAGGCCACTGTCTTTCCAGCCACTGATCCCCAAGCCTGTAGCATCCATGGGGTTATTGCGACCCAAGTGCAGGACCCGGCCCTTGGCCTTGTTGAAGCTCATCCAATTGGCCTCAGCCCATGGACTCAGCCTGTCCAGGTCCTCCACATTGGAGCAGTGATGAGGGAAAATTGGATGGGAGTTTGGGAGAGAGTGTGAAAACATGGTCTGAAGAACAGTGGTGCAAACCCCAAAACGCACAGAGCATATCTCAAATTTATTGGGAGCTTTGGTGAAAAGTCTGAGCAGCTCTTGGATGTTGGGCTTGACAGACAGCTGTCCCTGAAATGTTCCTTTTAGAAATTACATCTGTTATTTACTCTGCTGATTGGCTTCTCTGGGTTGCGTTTGGTCTGGATAAATAAGTCACCAAACTGGGAAGAGGTGAGAATTTAAACAGCAAGGCTTCCCCTAGGCCAAATCTGACATTAGCCAGCTGTAAATCGTGTAAATTGTGTTTTGCAGTGACCCCAGAGCTGTGGCAGCCCCAGACACCCGGTTTGTGTTGGGTACCAGCTTTGCACTGGTGTAACTGGGGAATAAATGGAGTCCTTCTATGAGAAAAGAATAAATCCCATGGCATGGACATGGGTAACTCAGAGATCTGGCCATGGGGATGTGGGTACCTTGGGGTTTTGGCCATGGGGACGTGGGTACCTCAAGGGGGTTTGGCCATGGGGACATGGGTACCTCAGGGTTTTCTCCATGCAGGCACCACACCTTTTTTGGGGGGAGCGTTTCTGTTTTGTGTCATTTCTTGTGCTGCAAAGCTGAGACTTGCAGTGTGCAGGCCCCCGGAGCAATCACAGCGAAGAGGGGTGTCCCCAGGACACCACGCTGCCGAAAGCCCCCAGATTTGGGCAGAGGAGCTGCAGTTGGGCCGCTCTGGAGCACGTGCTGTTGCGCAGAAGCTGGTGCTCAGCTGCAGCTGCCCGCTGCCGTTGTCGTTCCCCATCTCCTGTAGGATTTGTGGGCTCTCAGCCCCACGTTGTGATGCGCAGGTTGGAGGTAGACCCCATCAGGTCGCTTTTCCCGTTCCCTGCCGCTGCTGTGACACAAACACTGATGCCTTTATGTGCTGATGTGTCTGACTGACAGACGGCTGTTGATCCACAGCGCCCTGTGCGCTGGAGCATCCCCAGCTCCTCCTGACACCCCACACTGCTCTTCTCCGCGGTTCATTCCGGGCGCTGTTTTTACGCTGTGCTTGGAGTTACTGCTTGTTTCTTCATCACCTCGCTCTTTCTGGGTGCCTCACCGAACTTTTTCCCTCATAGCCAAAGACTGATTGCGCTTGCATCTCCAGAATTGGGATTTTGGGGAGGGGAGGCGGTGCCAGCAGAGCCATTGATCCCCTCGTTACAGCTTTGCCCTTTGGAGCCAGGAACAGATTATTTGCGTGGCCGTTCCCGATCAGAAGGACCAGACTTTACATAAACCATTTATACTAAACACTGGGCATGCAGGCAACATAAATCAACCACAATATCTACTACAGATTTATCACCGCATCGGTATTATCTTTGCTAGAAGTGGCCGTAGCCCAGGAAGTTTAGCCTTCTCCTAAATTAATTATTCAGGCCACACAGAGCCTGGCCCCTTCAATGTATAGTAATTCTTCCCAGCCAGCGCCCAGGACTTTACCTTGGGTGGCAATAACAAATAGGAAAAGTCTCAGGTGAAGCCGGTATTTTCAAGTGATTCATCATCTTCCCCTCCTGCTCCCCCCGCCTCTCTCCGGGTTTTCTTTAAGGAGGGAATTTCGGTAATAAATCTCTAATGGTACATGTTAAGAATCCTTCATTAATTCTTCTCTGCTTATTGCTCTTTATTTGATGCTTTTCTGCTGCGCGTTGAAATGCATATTCAAGAAAAAAAGGGAGAAAGCTGATAATGTGGGGGCAAGCTCGCTGTTTCACGGGTGTTCAAGGCGCACTCGCCGATAGGAGTTGTTGGTTTACAGTGTCAGACTTGGGTGCGGTTACAGCGCGGCTGCACGGGGAAAGGTAAATTAAAGTGATTTGTGCTGTCCTGCGTGGGGGGCAGCGAGCACCGGTTCTCAGCTTGGCAGAGGCCGTGGCGCATCCTCGGACGCCGCCGGTTCGGCTGGGGCTGTGCCTTTAAATAAACCCCCGTGGGACGCGAGCAGCCCATCAGGCCGATGCGAAGCGACGGGGCCAGACGTGATGGATCGGTTGTGACACCCGGTTTGCGGGTGGCTGGGGGTGACGGGTGTCCTTGTCCCCGCTGCAGGACAGCACAACGACGCCCGGATGAACCTCGCCATCGCGCTCACTGCTGCCAGGTACGGCGCTGCCACCGCCAATTACGCTGAAGTGCTGCGCCTGCTCAAGGCCCCCGACCCGGCCGGCGGGAAGCCGCGTGTCTGCGGGGTGCGCTGCAGGGACGTCCTGACAGGTACGTGGGGACCCCCCCGGCACCGTGGTTCAACGGGAATCGGGGTCCTTTGGGACAGCGCGCGCCCTCCTTCGTTAAATGTTTGGGTAACGAATGGCGCTGCTGTGTACACCCCAACGAAGCGATGAAGGAGGCATAGT